TCCTGCGCCCGTGGACATCCGACGACCATTGGAGGGCATAGATGGCCCCGTGTAGAAGGAGTGTACCTAAATTTGATCGAATCAATTAGTCCACTTTTCTTCGTCTATCATTTTCCGATGCTTTCCTTTTGTTTCACAATTGACCACAATGTATTGATATTATTTGACAAAAGTATAACCTTTTAGGTTATTAATGTTTTAGGTTAGCAAGTTAGGTCGACTGTGATTAGAGGAAAGTCTAATTAAATACTTTGCCACCATGATTGATGGATTTCTTTATATGAATTATTGTACACTTTACATAGAAATCCACATATCACTATGATGGACTATGACGACCACGGATCGTCACAAGAAGAGGCAATACTGAGAAAAGAAAGAAATAGAAAGAACGAACATACAGAGCAAAGCTTACAAGGCAACAAAAAGTGGAATTATTATAAATAGCGACAGATGTTTGATTCCACTTGGACACCAACAAATATTTATTACTTTGTTATAATTTCTAGGCTATATTTCATTTCTCTAACATCTCATGCTGTAGACAATAATAAATATTTGTCCATTGTCCAAGGGGCGCACGGTGCAGGGAATTGCTGCATACACAAGTCTAGATATCAAGAAAGAGTTGGTGGTTTCTTTACCTTTGTGAAATCCTGGTTAATATCAACGTAGCATTCATTCATAGAACCGATTAGTTATGTGAAACACGTGGTCGAAACACGAGCGAGCTGCAAACCGTCTATACTCCAAGTCATATGAACTTTCAACCACGTTTCAAGCGCGAGGAAAAATATGAATTCATGATTATATTCTAATTTAAAAGACTTGGAAACTAAGACGGTGCACAGCATACTGATCACTATCAGGAGTGTCTCGAGACATTGCCACGAATTCACCACTTTCTTATTCGAATCGCTATTGCAATTGAAGACAGAGAAGGGCAAACAAGTGTCAACTTGGTGCAGACAGGTATATGAAAGGGTGCTCGATCCACATCGTCTAGAACATCTATGTGATGTACATCCGAACGCAGGTGGAGATTTACAATAAATATAAAATACAGAGTTGCCGAATTTTTCAATCTCCGCCAATATTATAATTTTCATGGTGGTTAAACTCCCTTTCCTATATCTTCCTTGCATTTTATTATACTGAATTAAACTTAATTTCTGCTTTATTTACTGACTTTAATTCTTCTTAAATTTGAATTTAATATTCTCTGTTGAAAACCTCAACCTGCGTCAAAGTCCTGAAGAAGAAGTAAAATGTCACACAGGGCTTACTTTTTCAGCTAAACTCTCCAAAGTTTTTGGGTATCCGCGCTCGTAAGGCTGGAAGTGTTGCGTTGTGGAGGGTTTAGGTTGGTGTGTGATTACAGGCGGTGGCGGTGGTTGATAGGACCAACCGATAGGACAGTGTCCCTCCGGTCTGGAGTTGTAGAACAGATCACCGTTACTGGATCCCAGGTCTTGACTGGAACCGAGACCTGTCAGACCTAACCTCGTCCGGGATGGTAGCATTTCGCGACCGTCGCCACGTCTACGATTGCTATCTCTGCGATTAAAATAAAAGATTAGGTAATCGTATTAACTTTTAATATCTGGAATAAATGCATTCTGCTTATCTACTCTATTCTTATCATCTACATTAAATCGACTGTAATAGATTTTAAATTTAACTCTAAATTAAATTCTAGTTAAATCAAAATAGATTGCTTCAAATCATTTGCCTGAATAATTAAATAGAACAGAGTAACCGAGTACTGTTACTTTAAAAAGTTACACGAAGGAATTAAATGCATCTTCTTTTTGGGACAGTTATGTTTAATTCAAGGTCATCAAAATCCTGACCCAGACTGTTGATACCAATGCATTTAATTACCTGACGTGATTGCTCGTTGCATGGTCGCTCTCATCTTCGTTTAAGTCCCTCTTGATCACTACGACCGGAGGTGCCTTGTGTTCAGCCTGACGACTATGCGAGACTGGCTGGTGTTGTCCACGCCTTGTCGCCAGGACGAGTCTCCTGGGTATCGACATGATGATTACGACGTCGTCCAAGCTCATATGCGTTACGTCGACCAGATTCACCGCAAGAATCTCATCCCCAACCTAGTTAAAAGAAAAGAGAAAGGGCAGCGAAAATGAAAAAATTCTTAATTTAAAAAGAAAATTAATAGTTCATCGCCAGACTATTTACGTGATATAGAAAACAATAAAGATTCTGATGGAAAAGTTAGCAAGTCCCATGACTCTAATTCCCACAAGGGTACTTGCAATAAGTGTTAAGCACAAATTGGCTTTACTAGAGGTACAGTGGCAATTAAGGATCCAACGAAGAGGAAGTTTCCTCACCTTCAGGCAGCCACTGTTGTAGACTGCGGTCTCCAGGGCTACCCTTGAGATAAAGACACCATCGTTTCTGTCGACGCCATTGCCCTCTCGTATGTAGAGCCCCAGCGTCTGTCCTGGCCTTTTGATTATCTCGACGAAATGAATGGGGTGTTTCGGATCCTGCAACGTCATAGACAATTGCATTACAGTGTTATCCAGATATTCCAAGAGTGTCATGGGTACCTACAAAATTTTTTCATTAATATTGACAGTGACGATGTTCTCATCCTTGATATCACGTTTTGTATTTAAAAAGAAATAAAGAAAACAGAAATTGACATGTATTTCTTAACCGTTTGAGTGCCACGGGTCATTATTGTTTCCCAATCGATATTTGCCAAGCGGCGCGATAGCGCTTGTCATATTCCGTGTCCAAAAATGCCGAGCGGCGCGATAGCGCTTCTCATATTCCGCGTTCACCAACCGAGCGCGCTGATTGTCAGCTTCGCAGCTCAGAGCGCTGGCACTTTTGGACACAAAATAGAAGAAGCGCGATCGCGCCGCTTGGCACTCAAACGGTTAAGAGGATGATATCGCGACAAAGAAATGTCTGACGTATTGTAAGCAGAAAGTGAAGTAAAAAAGAGCTTGTTAGAAGCTTTCTCTAACTTTGGAGGTTCATTTTGCGAAGAACAGATTTAATGTATACGGATAGTTTATCTATCTGGGAATTTGGTCGAAGAGGATTGTGCATGGTGTCACACCTGCATCGCAATGAACTTGTTCGCTGCCTCGGACGCCTGTCTGCCCATCTGTCGTGGCTCGATGACCCGGACGACCATCTCACCCCTTCGTTCGACAGCTTCGAGGGCCGCTGCTGTCGAGGCGTCATGATCGTTCTCGACGGTCTCGATCTGTTTGAAGATCTCTGTGCTGATTCCACTCACCTGCAACGACAGGTTTTTCCACTTCAACCAGTATGCCGTGAACAGACACCTTTATGAAGAACTGCATGAAACTGTTCCAATAACTAATGGAATAACACCTCCTATACTCGAATCAATATATTCTTTTTGCAATCCAATACCTCATGGTATTTTTCAATTTTTCTTTCCTTCTCCTATATATCTACAACAAATATTGATCGGTGAATGAACTTCTGTTATAATTGTTGGAACAGCTTCATACTTCCAGCTTCTCTATTTTATCTCTTTTCAATATTTCAGTAGTTATTGGTTCTTTAAATATCTGATCATCCTCCAGAAACTACATGACAGTTTAATTTCTTCTATGAGACACTGTAGCCTGGATTATAATTTTTTCTTCTAAGAAAAAGAGAACATAGAGAGACTAGATTATTAATACGGGGTGATTCCCTTTCGAGTGAACTCAAAAGCAGTACTGCTTAAACCTCGTTGAACATTGCAGCAGGGGTCCTGTGTCCTTGTACAAAGATCTAACGAATGCGTACAACGACCTGTATACGTATGTGTGCGAGTTGTGAGGTTTCAAGTGTTTTCTGGGCAGGCCTTTGAGTCCACTAGTGGGCGAATCACTCTGTATATAGGATAATTAGAAGAGAAAGAATAGGTTTTAGAAAACTGTTGGAGGAGCGATATCATGGGAGTCAGTACCTTTCTGAAATCTCCCTGAATGACCATGGGGGGTGGTTCCTTGGGGCGCAACTGGTTGGCAGGTGCTTGCCTTCCAGGACTTGCGCTGATGTCTGTCACTTCCCCCCGGCCCTCCTGTAATGAAAATAAAATCGTAATTAGTATCACCATGTCTCTCAATGAATTTGTATCATTAATTGTCGAAGTAACCTAATATAAGACTTCCATATTGCAAGGGTATTCAATGTACCTTGGATATAGACTGTTAGAAGATACAAGGAACTCAATGATCAGAGGTGGAAGATATACCTAACTTGTGCAGCTAGAATACTTATCCAAGAAAATGGCAGAGAAACCATTTTCGAAAACGCCATTTGTATCATTAATTAGTGGATTAACCTAATAGTAGATTTCCACATTGCAAGGGTTTTCAGTGTACCTTAGCTATGGAGTGTTAGAAGATACAAGGAACTCAATGATAACAGGTGGTAGATGTATACCTAACTTATGTAATAAGAATACTTATCCAAGCAAATGGCAAACGTGGTGCAGATTCAAATAGCACGGAATGTAAATTTATAGACTGATTTAGAAAGTTAATTATAATGATGAGAAATGGAAACGTTTGTCGAAGTATGGGGTTTCAAGGGGATTTTCTATCGGCTTAAAAGCTCCAGTAAATCGGGCTAAAACGATTTCAATCAACGGATTGATTAGTGGCACGTAAAAATTGTAAAGCTCTCAGCCAGTTTTCTCTGCGATATTACAAACAATTAAAGATGCAAGTGCTTTAGAAAATCCATAAAATGGAAAGGAAGGTAGAAATTTCTTTGTCGGTCATCGATGCAAAGATAATGCTACTACTATCACCACTACCACCAGGAAGATAATAATCAGCCCCGTGCAAACATCGGCTGAAATCGTAATTTTTATTCCTTTCCGTCGTGAATTAAAAACTAGGTAGCTTATTACTAATTCGATCCTTGACGGTAAATTTAATTCGTTAATAAATATTGCACGACTAATTTGTCCCGTTTCTTACAACGGCTAATCGCTTGCAAACTAATTTATGTTGTTCCCTTTTTGGAAATAGTGTTAATATTGTGTAATTTTTCTACTTGGAAATTAACTATCGATTGCAATGAAGGTATAATTATGCCTATTTGAAAACATTATTCTGTGTGAAAAAGCGAGTATAAGATAGAAGCACTATTTGAAAAAAGTATTTTTATAGATTTTTATCTTCGATTGGTACGTCGATTATTTTCTACTAATTAAATAGTTCACGAGATTGTCCTTAGAAAGACGATTCATTCTTAGAGGACGTTTCACAATGACGTGCAGTAAGTTGTCTCAATTGTGCATATCTTGAAACCAATAAACTCGAGCTGATCAGAGTATGCAGAGATTCCGTTCAGGACTGAGGAACTGTGGACACAAGAATCCTGATAGAATTCATTAAGAGTAACAAACAATGTGCTTAGGAAAGTAACCGCTTGTTACAGAAGCTACTTCAATTAGAATCAGTCAGGAACAGCAACATTTTCCCCTTGCTCTTGTGAGAATTTTAAATTTCCATAAAGTAGCCTTCTACTGCATCATTAAGGGGTGATCTAACTGGAGATCGAAGTGCACGATTAAAGTATCCCAGTATCTCCATTAACAGCACCAATCTCGGTATCTGAATATTCTACGTAATAATTTCGAGGAAAATTTCAAAGGAGACGAATAATTTTCACTTCTCTTCTAGGACAAAGGCAGTATCGATACTTGTCCAACGGAACCAGTACTACTCCCGTATTCCGTATTTTAACGACACCCATTGATCTAAAATTAGTTAATCTAACCCTCGTCGCTGCTTCCTCCTTAGCCTCATAGTTTCCACCGTTCATCACTCTGCATACCCACAATCCCATAGCCACCACGATAAAAAGTGATCTTCGATCGTCCCAGCTAGCACGTTCCTTATCTCTCCACAAGTATACTACATTTGCAGGCACGCCAGGAACCGGCACACGTTCCACAGCGTAAACTCCTCTCTTTCCGTTCACTCAAAGCAAATCACGCGAGCAGGAAACGCACCCCGTTGAGACATGTGAAGAGGACGAGCCACGCGGCAGAGCCGCACATCCGGTCGCACAGGGACAATAAAGACATCCACACTTGCGCGGCCGATTTGCAGCCCCTTTTGTTCGACGTGTCCTCGGGAAGGCCAGCGACAGTGGTGAGGAGCTCCTCACCCTTAGTTGTACAGCCTTCAGCGCCCCACTCTCTCGTATCCGCCGGTGTCCAGGCCCTCTGTTCCTCTTTTCTCTTTCTCGAGGCCTCGATGTTCGTTGTTCTCGCCGTTATACTCGCGCGTCTATCCATGCGTGCTACACGAGCACACGGACACCCCAAGATTCGAGGGCACGCAGACTCCAATGGCCAGGCCTCCGGTCCACTCCTCCGTACTCCCTGTCCGCTGACGTTCACTGGGTCCAATTAGGTTGGCTTTTCGATCGTGGACACCACGCGACTCCAGAGGATCTGTCCACGCGACACAGGTACGCGGATTACCTTGCGGGAGAAGTAGTAGCCCGTATCACCCCTGTCGCACATCCTCGCCTACCCCATGCTGGCTAATATGGCGGGAAGGAGCGCTCAGGAGCGTACGAGCCTGCGCCTGCGCCCTCGCGATTACCACGACGCCGGGAAATGGAGTGTGGGTGAGTATCGACCCGACGTGACGTCACCGTAGCCCACCACCATTGCCGCCAATCCCCCCTACAACCCACCCCTACGCAAGCTTACTCTGTCTCTCGCGGTGATTCTCGGTTACGCTGCCGCTTTTCGTTTGCTCGACTTGCTTTATCTCTGTCTAGGTGTAGTTGTCTTGCTCCACCGGCTGCCGGGTTTCTCTGCTACGGCTACGTTCTGGCTTCTCTGTACACCTCTGTACCGTTTGATTCCTGCTTCGCCTCTAAGCTTTGTCTCTGGATCCTAGGTTAGCTTCTTCTTCCTTTTTCATGGTCGATGGTTGATCGTTAAGTTTCTTCGTTGTAGGTGCTTTTTAGGTTAGGTCTTTGTCTGTCCTTGCTTGGTTAATTATTGGTTCTCTTCGGGGGAGATTATTTGGCTGGGTACAGTGAGGGGTTAGATAATTGGGTTTCTCTCTTTTTCGTTGATCGATTGTTGGCTTGTCAATGGTGATATGAGTCTTGGCTTATCTCAGGAGATTGACCCGGATTACGGTAGATTGAGATAGAGTAAGTCGCTTCTACGAAATTACAAGAGAGTTCCCTTTTAGGAGGTGCAACATTGAATATAGGAGCCTCGAAGTATCCCTTTCAGAACAGATTCCTTGCCGATCTACAAACATCTCCTGTTTCTCGCACCATGGTCCCATATTTTCTCTTCCAGCTTGCTGGATAATCGAATCTGAACTCTATTAGCTCCTCTTCATCATCCACGGTTATCGATACCTTTTTGTGCGACTTCTTTCTCTTCCTCTTCGTTTCTCACAATTTATAGCACGCCTGTTCCTCCTTTTACCACCTTCATGCTTATCTCCCTTCAACTTCAATCCTCATCATCGATCTTCCCATTATTTTTTCTTTGACCCATTTTACCCGCTTCGACGATATTCATTTATCGGGCTTTTATTTTGTCATGCGGCCCGTACTTCTCTAATTGCATTCAACTCGCTGCGTCTCTTGACATCTTTCTGCCCTTCCAACAATTTGTTTTATCCCCCTATGCACAAGTGTGTTGTCCATACACAGTTTTCATTCTGATTTCCCGTGTATTCCGCTTTTATGCATCCATAAACGCTCTTACTCCTGTCTGCCTTAATATTCTTCCCGATTTTGCCCACCGCAAATCCTGTCTAGCTATAAGATGGTCGCTTCTTCAAGGACCAATCGGTCCTAGAGTTGTTTGACACTATCATCACCTGGACGGAGTATAAACGTTATCAATTACGATATTTCTGATGGATTTTGTGTTCCTGACTTTTCTTCAGCCTCTCTAACCAATTAGACAAATTTGTCACTAGTCGAATTTATTTATGATTATGTGCTATAGTGATCCTGTAGGAGCAGCATTGTTCTATGATAGCTTTGCTCGATTTAATTTCAGTTGGTCCATTTCAGGAACATTTAGCACTTGCCATTGAGCTTCATCAGGCGGGAATTAACGAATTAATTTGAGCACACGCTGGAAGCCGTCACTAGGCTGACACACGCTTGAAAACAAGACATAGGTAAGCAATGTCGCCGCTGAAGATTCTTAAAATTTTCGGCACTTATCCGTTCCCTTTTCCCGTCTGAGCACGAGGGTGCTTCGTATTGTAGGCCAAAGTGCTTTCACCTCCTCTCTGCCTCTTTTCTTTCATCGCTTTTATCTATCCGGACGTTTCCTCCCTTGTTTGGGCATTCTGTACCCTTTACCCCTTCTTGTTCATTCCTCTGTGCTCCTTCCTTCAAAGATTGCCAAGATTTAGTATCATATTAAAATAAAGTACAACTTTAGGCAAATAATAGGAGTTACATACAGAAGTCCTAGTACATGTACCTTTCCTTTCATCATCTCTTCACATGCAGAATCTCAGCTACTTCGTTTTTCCGTTTCTATTCTGTTCACAATTTGTCATTTGCTTCCCTCAGCTACTCTAATTACCGATTTCTTCACCTAACCAACTCTAATTCCCACTGTCTTCTACCTGTTTCTTCGCTTATTTATCTCTCACGTGTCTCCTTGTCTCTCCGCCTGGTTCTCTTCCATTCTTTTCCCTCCGGGTAACACCCACAGGGTCCAACAATCTTCTCCACCATAAAACCTGTCGTCTGGATTCCTTGGCGAGAAGGTGCAATGGCTCGTACGCCTCTGCACGTCGTGATGTCACCTGTGACGAAGGTGATGATGGTGGTAAGAATGGCGCTGGTGATGGCTGCGCTTCCCGGCTGCAGGGAGAATGCCTGTAATAGCGCAAGCGGACTCTACATTAACGTCTTGCCTCTTCGACAACGATTGGGACTCTTTAATGAAAGATGTCGTCACTGTGAGTCAGACTAATCCGTGATTTTCATTTTTCCACAAATTTCTAGCAAAATAGTCTTCAAATGCAATCTGGAGTCTAGAGCCAACAAGCTTCTTTCATATGCGATACTACGCTTCGCGATTAATGGGCATTAAATCACGAGGAACTCGGAGATCTTCTTCCTCGACAACATTATTTGCGTTGTAAACTGTCGCATAGGAAGGTTCAAATAGCTTCGCAGAATGTTTCCCGAATCGTATAAAGTTGGATTTTGGGTCGGATAGAAAATCAGGTCGAGTGCGTACCGTGAAAAGTAATTTTCTCTCATACATGTACAAAATTCCGCGAACCAATTATTTTCTCGTTATCCTTGTTCTTGATAGTCCGTCAAGCTGCCAGAACAAAGAGCCCGGTTCTCTCGAAGATGAAATAACGAAACTCCAACCGGGTCCGAGGAACAAAGAAAGAAAAAAAAGAAGAGATTCATTCAGAAATCACTGTATCTTCTTCTACGCGATCAAATTCAACAGGCAGGCGAATTCTCATCGAGCTAACAATTAATTTTTCATGCTGCACGAGCAAGTCGTGTGTATTTGGAAAATAAAATTTCTCCTCGTTTCCCAGGCGTCATAGAAACCAGCCTTTTTTTCCTTCTCAGCGAGAATGTAGGTCATCAAGGCCTTTTATTCCCTCCGTATTAGGCGAATTATTTCGCGAGGAATTAATTTGAATGGAGAAGGGGGGTTGGCACTTTTTCTCCGTCGTGGTTGGTATTAGAGCGTGGCGTTTCATTGAGTTTCGAACGAAATTGTTGGCGCAGGCGTGATGACCTTTCCAACGCTACGGCTGGATTTTACGTGTCCTGAGCCGTGTGTGCACGCCTCCACCTCGTGGATTCTCGTTTCAGCATTGTTTTAGCGTTTTAACGTGATTAAACGGGCCTGGTGCTGAGGGGTGTGTTAGGTCGTTTCATTGTCGCTGAATTCGTTTCAATCATGATTGATTTTCCAATTTTCCATCGTTCCTGGATCGTACGTAACAAATCACGCCGCGTTCCTTTCTTCACGCTGATTTCGTTCTCTTAATTTTTAGGTTAGGTTCGGTGGAACTCGGAGTCCTTCAAAATGCTGTCACTTTCTTCTCGGTACGATCATATTTAACCCTTGGAAGACGAATATTTTGAATCCGAGTGCATACAGGGATATTCTCACCTATAACTGCGCCGGTAATCGTGATAGTGGACGTAGCTAAAGATCTACAAGTGGATTTTTCAATTACTTACAATTTTTAGTTCGTAGTTACGTTCAAATTTTCCAATTTACTCGAATGTAAAATTTCGCATCTCTCGAAGCCAAACGTATTTCTATAATCACCGATGCAATTAGAATCTCGTTATACCCAGGTTTGGAGGTTAGGTTAGGAGATTAAAATCGTAAAATATATTTCCATGTACAAACATTATATTCAATTACCACAAAATGTATAAAACAAATATATATTTTCGTTTATATATATGTTGCACATATAGCGACGCTATATGCAATGTAATAATAATATAATACATAATATGTGGCAGAATATAGTGTTGCTTACTGTACGAGCTTTATAAATAAATCTTTCATATTTTTCACAACTTGCACGATTCTTTACGAATATAATGCACAAATAGCATAAATTACAAAATTATAAATTTTTTCATAAAATTCCGTATGTATTTAGCTGTCACCTCATTACTAACATATATAGTTAGTTCTCGATATATTTTATGAGCAACTTATTTTTACAAATTAATCGAAACGACCTCACATTCGTCGTGCAAGGGTTAAGGGTAGTCCGGCAAACTAGTCTGCTTCAGGTAAATTTCGTATGATCGAACGATTTTGCAATGAGATTGGCAAAAAGGTGAAGGGAGACACCGATCGTCCTGGTTCCGATAATCGTCCGTAGGGCGGCCTAGTTTAAACGCAGCGTGAAGCGTTAAATGAATTACTTTCAAAGCTTCAAGTGGCTATTTAGCAGCTGACAGAGAGTGGAGAAGTGTAGGCCAGAGAGAGGCTGCTGAAGGGTCGAAAAACGAGGAAGGAGGGCAGAGGGTTAGCCTAACGTCGAAACGTGTCCCGCTGGGCTGGATTCAAGGCGGCCGATTTACCGCAGTTCTGTTTCACTTTGGCACCGCTCCATTGGCTCTCCCTCGTTGAAATCAACCCCAATAGGGAATAAAATGAAACGGGAACCCCGATACCAAAAATTACTCGAAAACGCTTTGCAATAGTATCCAGTCCTAACTATACAAGATTCTAACCTATACGAATCTAGAGTCCCTAACTGATCCTTCCCCGGTACACAAATC